AGTTTAAAAGAATTTTCAACAAAAAAAGTGGGAAAAAATGGAAAAATTTGTCTAAAAAAAAGAAAAAAAATGAGGACGAATGAATAGCAATTTTGATGGCATTTTATCTGATTATATTAAATGGCATGGATGAATTTGGTCTATTTTCTTCAATGCGATCGAAGTGATGGAAGAAAAAAAAGAAAAAAGAAACGCAATAACTTTCTCTTATATTATTTACATAGAAGTCTTTCGTTTTTGCTTTTTTCTTTTCTTTGAATTTTGTTAAGCCAAATGTAAGATTGAAACAAAAAAAAAAGTTATCAATTCTTTTGAATATTCGAGCTTCTTTTCAGCTTTCTTATCTTTCCGTACCATTTGAGCCGCTTTGATCCCGTTCATTTTGTATTTGAATTTCATCAAAATAATTTGAAAAAATTAATTTGTAGTAAAACGAAATGGGAAATTTCTATCTGGAACATAAAATTTATATTTGGAGGATTAAAATTTCATCAAAATAATTTAAAGAAAAAAACGATAAAAGGAAAATGGGAAATTTATATTTTATTTATTGCAGTGTAATCTTTGACCATTTAAATACTTATGGTTGGTATTTAATTTGTGTGGATGTAAATGAGAAACTTCGTTCAGCTTCTTATTTCATTTTAAAATTTGAATTATTATTTCACAAATATTAAATCAATCATGCAAAATGACACTAATTATTGCTTTCTCCTAATTAATTTTTAATTCATTATATCTATAGTCAACAAATGGATAATGAAACCGCTAATCAGTATTCATTAATATAAAACTTCAAAATGTGAAATTTATATTTTAATTAAGAAAATGAAAACGCTAATCATTAAAATTACCATCAGTGAAATTTTATACCAATAAGTTTGTGCCATGAATAGCTGGTCACATTCATCCCTTATCTACTGTTAACAAATAAAGATATGTTGTTATGACGATATATTGAAGTTATTAAAAAGTTGTCGCTAAAATTTATCAAAACAACTGATCTAAAAAAAATAGCAAGACGACAATACTGATAATCATTTTATCAGTTCCTTAATAATTTGCAGCAATTTTGAAAATATTTTGAGAAATTTTCAATTTATTACTATTTATTATTCGATCATTTTATGCCTTTGTTTTATAGCAGTGATTTTAATTGTTACAAATTGAAAATTATCACAAATTTATCAATTGCTTGTTGCTTTTTGTATTGTAAATAAAAATTTTTAGAAACAGAAAAAGAAGGAATTTAAATTTAACTGTTAAATCGTCTTCTTCGTTTCTCCTCCTCTTCCTCTTCTAATTAACCTTTTTACTTTGATTTTTCTTCATGACCCTGTTCCTCTTCCTTCTCCTCTAACTGACCTCTTTATTATGACTTAATCTGATTTTCCGCCATTCATTTTGTAATCGTTGTTGCTTCATTTATTTAAAAATTAATAAATGAAAATTTAATCAAAAATGCATTTTTGCATTTCAAAAGAAGGTATAAACAGAGAGACAAAGATATATGCAAAAATGAAATAGTGAACAGAAAGAGACAAACAGTGGCTAAACATAATAAATATGGGTGGGGCGGCAAAAGGCTGAGTAGACACGAAAAAAAAAAGAGAGAGGGAGAAAAAAAGGCAATAGGAAGGGTCCAATTTTCGTTCAGCATCGATAAAAATGGGGCTGAATGAGAAGTGATATGGGATAAGGGAAGAGGAAGAGAAGGAGGAAAAGGAGGAGGAAGAGAAGGAGGAGGAATTTAAATCTGAGATGAAATTTCTTCCTCTTCCCGTTTTATGAATTGTGTCTCATTCATTGGACAAAATCTTTCCAAAGGATCAGGAAGTAGTCTTATTTCTTATTTATTTTTTCTATTTCATTTTTTTCTTTTTCTTCATTTCTTTTTTTTTCATTGATTTATTACCATAATAAGTAGACAGAATTTAAATACTGAACATTTCAGACTTTTAATGATACTATTTTAATTAGAAAAGACTTTTTACACTCAAAGATAGAAAAAAAAAATATTTGGATGGATTGTTAGTAGTGTGCGTGTGTCTGTGTGCGTCTGTGTGTGTGGAGTGTGTATGCCTGTATGTGTGTGTGTGTGTGTGTGTGTGTGTGGTGGGGTGGGGGG